CCGCGGCGATGCGTGTTCGCATGCGACGCGGTGCAACGCGTTTTCCTCGGTAAACAACGTCTTTTAATTTGTTCGAGGGAGAAAAAGTTCGCGGAATTTCCGGAGAACGAGCCGGCCATTGTGTATGCTCGTTAAGTCCAGTTCGAAGTCTCGGTAAGGATGCCCGAGTAAAAAAAAAAAACTGTTAATTTCAGGTACCCGGCTTGCACGCATACATTTCCCCGCGACCTGGAAATGGCCTCTTTCTTCGGCCCTTTCTAGCTAAGGGTGCAGCTTGAAAGAAAAATCGAGGAGAAAGTTGCGTGAACCTAAATTCCCACCCCGAGAAGACGGCGGCAACGTGCAACGAGACCCGATGAACGGCTGATTATTTAAATATATATATTTTTTTACGTAGAATAATTTTCTAAAATCTCATCGGGGCGCGAATACCCCTTTTCCTACCTCGAACGGCGAGATGTTAAAAATCGACGGTTAAAATCGCGGCATTTCATAAATTATTCAAAAGAATCCGCGATACCGCGGCGCGTTTACCTCTCGTGCATAAATCGCAGCAGCCAAAGCATACAATGTTTCACATTGTGGTAAACGCTCGCAACGTTCCCCCTCGACTCCGTCTGGCCGAACCCGGGGCGGTTTCGTTAAAGGAGGAATCCACATCGAAGTAACACGTACACGTCGCATGCGTGCACGAGCAACACCTAAAATTAGCATATTTTGCGAGAGGTATCTCCCGCATTCGGCACTTATCCTTCAACGAGCGAACGATGCGTCGGGCGGCCATTACGATTGCACCGCACGGGCCGTCGGCCATTCAGCGGTACATTTTCTAAGAAGCCCCGCACAATTTCCAGCCTCGATCCGACAAACTCCGCTAACCGTGCTGCCAGTCAAACGGGGACCCGTGGTAATAAATAATAAGATTTTTTACAGTTCCGCGCGGGTGGTTGCGCCGGCCGCCATTTTGTCTTCGGCGCGCGTCCGCCCTCGGCCGCGCAGCCTTCGCTGCGTCGGCGAAAGCATGGGAAACGTCGGGAGAAATGGCGAATTATCCGGGAACACCGATGTTCGGCATGGCGATTTCGCCTCTCTCGTCCAGGATTGGCGTTACCGCCATTTTGAGCCGCCGTGCGTGCGCCGCCGGTTTTCGGTCTTCGAATTTCATTTTTACAAGTATTTGGCACAAGGTTTCGGAAATGAGGGCGTTTACCGAAGGTTCGCGATTCCACCGAGTTGGAGAGCACTGCTTCGGCGGAATATTCGGTTTCTCGGTCCGATTTTAACGTTTGGCCGTTAAAGCTAATTTTTAGAAACACGAGATATGCCCTGTTAGAAAAGAACACTACAATTTTATAACGACTGAGTTTAATTTTTTCAAGATTAATTACGGGGCGCAATGAATTTCCTTCCGTACAGCAAGCAAGGAATAACGTTGGATGCAGCGGGGTCAAATTGTTGCATCGCGGTTGAAGCAAAAAATCAGCGTTTCAGATTTTTATAGTTTAATGCTATTATCACACGGTTGCGTGTCCGTCTGTGGGGCATAATCAAGGCGCGCATGCAATACGTTCCGTTGCTTTTGCAAAGAGAAAACTGTTTTCCTCCACCAAAATTACATAAACTACCTTAATTTTGAAGCCACAATGTAAGCCGTGATGTATCGTAACTGGTACTTTTATGGCGTCGGATACCGAGGGGTCTAATGGCGGAAATATCACGTCGTCGAAACCCCATGTGTCGACGATAGAAATAAAAATATTTCCAAAGTTTGTATCATCGACCAGAAACGACATCAAGGAAAATTTGCCAGGCGTCGCGCTGGACAAATGAACATTCAAAATGGCGGACACTCCGTGACATGAAAAACTCTATAACGTGGACGGCGGATAGGGGCAATAAATTTGCGTAATCTGGTAGTAAATTAAGAGAACTGAAACGCGCACGGATAGGCAGCGGTGCCGACAGAAACTATATCCGCGATATATCCGGTTTTACATGACTTCCTGACGGCCAAATCCGTTCCCGTTCGACTCGTTCAACGGGGCATCGTTCTTCATAACTGTCATCGTTACAAATAAATATGTACACGATATACGGATAATTCCCCCGCACGCAGCTATGGGCACGCCATCCCCGGTAATTGCGTCAGGCCAGAAAAAATCCGTATTTGAACATATGCGGTTAATCGTGAGCTCATTATCCCAATCCCGATGTAAGAAAAACGCTCGCGTGATCGGGATTTCACTGTTCCGAAATAATGGATAGCTGCAGGGTCCCGGGATGATTTTTGTAACACGTACGGACCCGCCGGTACCAGATCTTCCACTGGACCAAATTTTCTCGGTCTAGGGACGCCATAATTCTGCCGAAAGGTGAAACATCCCGAGTCACTGGATCGGCTGTTACCGAGCACGGTTAAAAAAATTTCCGCACAAATAATCCTAGTCCGAAATATGGAAAAATATGTCAAACAAGGTTGAGTAACTTTGAAAATTATCCCACTGTTATTTATGTCTCGCGATCGTTATTCCCTTATTGATTCTGTGTCCCAAATAATTGGAAATATGAATTTCAATATCTGCACCCGTCCGTCTTCCACTCCTCAAAATGGCTGACCGCGTCGACCATTTTCGTCCGCGGGAACATTCTCTTTAGAATTCCTGACATTGTTCTTCGTGTACGTTCAAATAGAATGCTCATTCCACGTTTAGATACTTATTGGTCCCACAAAATTTTCTACCCGCGAATCCATTACTTACGTATTACCAGGATAAATGGAAATATTTACAAACTGCCAATCATGGTGGTTGCTTTCGCGCGCACTATTCCACTTTTATTTATTTTTCTCTCGGAATTGTTTTAAATAATCTGCTACCACGAATGGAAAGCGCCAATTTCACCTTCGTACGTTCGCGCCTGCAAGCAACAATTTGTCCCCATCCGTGCGTTTATGTCTGCACGCGTAATAAGACATTGACTGCGATAGCACAACTCGTTTCCTTTCCGTATCGGATAATGAGACACTGAATGCGAAAATAAATGCAGATGGGATCGCGGAATGAATCAAGGCGCATTCGCAACCTGAGATTACAACAAATTGTTATGGAGAACCGTGCCGATATTTCCTATCTCATCTACATCCGACTTTGTCCACTCAGCAAAATTATGTCAAACCATCCCGTCGGCATTATTAAGTTTTTTTTCCTTTTTCGACAACGTGCACCCTCTTTCTCGATTGCAGAACAAAGTTTACGATCTCAGAAACGGTAAGATGAAAATATCGTCATTGAACGCTATCTATACTTAAAAAATTACGATCCTGCGCCGTAATTTTACGTTCGGATCTGTCGAAGACGGATGTTTTTGTTAACGTCATCTCACCAAAGACCGGGGCAGGAGGAGAAAGCATTGTCGCACTTTTTACGGATACTTCTAGTATATTATATAAACATCGCGGCGATTATATCCACTCTCCCTTATTATCTGTTACATAAAATCAGCGTCGCGTGAACATAATAACGAGGCATTAATTGCTACACGAAGAGCTTCGATGTAGTCTTTTACGTTTATATTTAGTGCCGACACGCGTGTAACGACATACCCTTTAATGTACTTCGATCTTAACTGTAATCCGGCGAACAAATCCGTATTTTCGAAACTTCTTTCCGATCCGCGACTCCCGTATTATTATTTCTTTATCTTTTAATTTTGGAACGTTGGAAGAACCAAATAAAATTTTTATTTCGAATTTCGATAATTACGTGCCAAGTTTGCGATAATCGCGAAGATCGATTCGGAGGAAAAGTGAGTTCAATTTCTTTTGTCGCGTACTTCGTGGCCGCGGTTTCACGTAATCGGCATCTGAAATGATCGGCACTCGGATAATCGGTATTTCGATCGATCAACGTGCGGATAATCGACGCCCCGTCGTAATGGTACTCCACGTGAACCCCGGTAATCAAATACACACATATCACGTATCATATAACAGTAAACACGCCCTAAAGCCTGATTACTTGGGCTCGTACGAAATTGTGCGGAATAATTGAAAGCCCCGTGCTTTGTTTATTGCGATTTGGATTTCGCAAAAGGCGTGCCAATTACATTACGAAAAGGGCTCGCAACGGCGCCCTGAATTACCAACGGCAATTACCCGAGATGGAAGAATTTCCCGAAAATTCTGCTTTCCTCGCCAATGGAGCACGCGGACTCGCGCTTCAACGACAAACGTCATTTTGCAAATTGCTCGGTATTTTTTAAATCCTTGACCGACAGGTTCATTTCTCGAGATGGATAATTTCGATACGATCCCGAAAATTAAGCATATTGCAAGAATCACGAAAAAACCTACCGCAAGCGCGCGCAAAAAAAAACAGGTGAGCGAGGAATTCGCGAATCCAATTCACCGGCAATCCGGCACCCGACGTTGCGCCAACGCAGCTCGCACGGCCAGCCATCTAAAATGCAGTTACCACAATCTCGAGCCGCCTTTCGTTTAAAATTAATTCCATCCATTTCCAGCGTTTCCCACACGATGAAAATCGTTTTACTAATTCCGGGCGGACCGGCGCCCGCAACAAATATGGGCGGTGAAAACGAGATCGCGTCTAAGCTCGACACCGTTTCCCCCATCCCAACGCCGCGGCCAAAAAGCGCCGTAAAAATCGGCCGTCGACTTTCCACGCGGAACGACTTTTCCCTGTCGCGATTTCCTCCCGGCGATGGTTCAAAATTATGGACATAGGAATGGAGAGGCTTGGACCCAACACGGGAACACGGGACGGGGGCAGCCATATCACCGCGTCAAAGGGTGGCGCAAGGTTCGAATAGGTCTTTCTACCCGAATTAGATGTAACGTTGCGTTACAATTTTCTTTAACTTAGATGCCGGGAGCAACATTGCCGAGACAACGTAATTTTCCTGCAATTTACCGTGGCATCGAAATAACCAACGATCGAGTGTCGAAAATAAGCGAGCAAGACGAATCTCGCCGGACCTACCTGCGAGTCGGTCCTTCATGTGCGGATGCGACTGAAGGGGATGGACCGCCAGATTGGCGAGGAAGCCGGCCCTGTGGAGGCCGGAGACGGCGGCCTGCTGCTGGCTGTGGTGCTGGAGAGCCTGCAGGCTCCAGGGCGGGACCAGGGTGGCCTGTCCGGGGACGGTGCCCGAGGTGAGGGTGCTGCTGGACGCGCCGGGCGGCCGATGGGCGGGCACCCTGATGACGCCGCTCCCGGTGTAGATGAGTCCGGCACCGTGGAAGAGCCTGAAGGGGGCGAACAGGTCGGCCTGGCCGGTCCGCGTCTCCTCGTCGTCCCTGTCCTTGCCCTCGGTCTCGGGACCCCAGGATCGCCGACCGTCCTCGGGGACGGAGCCCGGGCTGCCCTTGGCCCAGGTCCAGGGCAGCTTGCCGGGCCTCTCGGGGTCCGGGTCGTCGTCCGGGGACAGGTCCTTCAATCCGTGGCTCCTGCTCTCGCCCAGAAGACGGCTTATGCTGAAGGGATGTCCGCCCGCCGACTCGCTCTTCGGGACCTTTCCTCCGGGGCCGCTGGGCGGCGACTCGGAGTACTCGGACCGGGCCTCGGCGCTTCTCTGGACGTTGACGCGATTCCGCGGACTGCAGCTGCGGGAGCTCGAGGTGACCACGTTGATCTCCTCCGCGGCGTCCGCGTCGCTGTCGCCGCGCTCCGACATGATGGGTCGTCGAGAGTCTCTTTCAGCCGTTCCTCCCCGAAACGACCGAGGACATGCTCGACGTCGACGACGTCCGTTGGGTCTCCCGCGGAACCGCTTTTCCCGAGATGCGCCGTTCCTTTCGATCGCCCCCGACTTCTTTCTCCCCTCGGAGTTGTCTTTGTAGTTTTGGTTTTGGCCTTGGGGGTAGTTCCCTCCAAGTCACGGTTTCGCCACGTCGGATGCTTCGTTTGTACGAGCGCTGGCTCGTTTGCGAGACTTTCACATTTCCCGAAGATCGCAACGGCGGGCGTCGAAAAGAGCCTCCTCCGGAGTCTTATCGTTAACGAAACGCCGAAGCGGTCGTTACGGCCAAAGGATGAACCGGCGCCCCGCTTCTGGTTAAGCGTCCATTAGGTTATCATCTCCCGCGGACGCGAGCGGCCATTTTCTTTTAACCGCTCTCCGGCTGATCGCGGGGGTTTAAGCGGTCGAGATCCGCGGTCCAGGAAGGAGAATTAGGAAACCGGTCGACCGGCGAGCGAGCTCGGAGAGTGGCCAACCTTCCGCGCCCCGAGTGCCCGATCGTTCGTTGTCTTCTTACATGCCGTTGTTTCCCAAGTTTAACGAGCATTCTAGTCGAGCCGGGGTGCTCACAATCGGCGGACAGTCGTTACTTTCGTGCCGGCAGCTTTTGTAATCGCGACCGCTCGCATTCCATCTTTTGCGGCAGCCCGAACGCGGAACCGGCCCCGCCGATGAGTCCAACGGCTCGAAGCGGCTTCGGGGGTTTCGTCTCTACGCCCGACATAGCGGACGCTCGTCGCCGGGCATTTTTCTCCCTTCCTGGCTCCCGTCCTCCAGCGGACTCCTCGCTTTCCCCTCGCGGCGTTTTGCGAAGAATCCTCGTTGTGGCGAGTATCGCCGATGGCGTCATCCGATGGACGAGTCGACCGAGACCGACACCTCGGTGGGCTTCTTCGACCGTGAGAAACTTTATTGCGGGATGACGTCGTCCGCAAGGACGAGCGGCCGGGTGCCGTCCGATCGCCGACGGTCTCCAAACGGTAAACTCCGATCCCAGTTTTCACGATATTCGACGGTGCCAGCCGTCGGGAGAAATCCACCCATCCTCTCACCGCGCCATGGTCCAACTTCTTCCGGATGCCGAGCGACGTTACCAGCGGTGTCCGGGGCACCCTTCGGAAGGTGTCGCGTTGACCGACTCGCGACGCGCGGGTCCGCCGGGTCCGAGGCGGAATCGGGAACGGGAGCAGGGGCCGTCCCTGGTTCGTCGAGGCAAAGTGAATCGGCTGGACGCGGGACGCGGCCGACCGGGTGGCGCGCCCTTCCCCGGCTTCCCCGGCTTCCCCGGCTTCCCCGGCGTCCCCGGCGTCTCCGGCTTCCCCGGCCGCGGAGAAGCCCGCCCATCGGCAACGCGCGGCCAATCCGCCTCGCTATGGCCGCGCCTCCTCTCTCGGCGCATTGGCCCGCGGCAAATTGATACCTATTTAACGTTTGAGCAGAATGTTGCCGGCAATCGTCTCTCTTTCCTCTCTATTATTTACCGCGATCTTCGTTACTTTTTTCCGCGGCCGCGCGCAGCCACCCGCCGGCCCAAGGCGGCACGCTCGTCCGCCTCGATTTTCCGAAATTCGACCGAAATTCGACCGAAATGGCCCCTCGTCGAGACGCGCGTTTCCCCCGCTCCCTAGGAAAGCCCCGAGACGGGTTACCCGAAAGCGAGCGTAATCGCGCGATGAGTATACAGGCAATGAACTCTAAAATGCCCGCCGTATTTCGCGTCCGAGTGGCGCAAGCCCCGCGTCGCTTAAACCTAAAATATGCAATTATTACGCCGCTTAAGCGCGAATTATGACATTTAGGCGCGCGATTTCCACATTCCCGGGGAACGCGACGAAGGGGAGGAAGTGGCGTTCCTTGAACGCGCGCCGAGCACCGTTTCGTTCGTTCTCCCCGACGCCGAGGGTCGGGAAACTCTCGAAACGGGGACCGGTGGTCCGGTGGTCCGGTGGTTCGAAGACGTCGCTCGAATAACGCGAATCTTCGATCGGACGGCTCGGATATCGCATCGATGCCAGCAACCATCGCTCGGAAAACTTGGCCTGGAATAGCCTTTTGCGGAATCGCGTTGCGAAATAAATTCTTCTCCTCGACGAGCCCAAACCGTACGTTTTGCCGGTCGCGGCGCGGCGTTGCGCCATCCTCGATAATTCCCCCCGCAATATCTCTCGCGTTTTAACGTCGAAAATAAATATCTCCCGTTTATTTCGTTCCTCTTGATCCGAACCGTAAAACTATCCGCGGGCCCGACGAGGTGGTAGGGTCTCGGTCCGGCAAAAAGTTACGCGCCCGACAATGGCGGCGTCGACGACGCGGACCCGGGTCCGGTAAACGTTCGTCGAAAAATAAATTGGAAACGATTGGACCGTTTTCCGTTGGTTAAGTAACGATTTAACCGTTCTGCATTGCGGGCTCGGTTTTGCTTCGGGACGGATTATCCTTCTTTCCTGTTACGCGAGCTGATTAAGAGCAGAAAATCACAGAAGCTAACGTGCAATGTCGACGTTATTGGGCGTAGCGTGCCCGCGGAATAACTACTTTAACCACTGAGCCACATCGACTTCCATCCCCTGCTCCTTTTTTCTTATACTTCGGTTCCAAGTACTGCAATACTGTTATGCTACCAGCTTGTTTTCATCCTGCCTCCTCGCGGCAAAGACGAACTTCGGAGCGTTTCGCGTGGAATCCATTTTTAGTCCGTCTTTACGACCTGGATATTCTCGTCAATTTCTCGGTACTTAACATCTCACGAGCGCGTTGCGACTTTCGACGCGTCGCTTGTTTTGCATCCAACGTTTTTCCCCTTCCACCCGTTGCAAACGAAGCAGCGGATCGTTCGTTGAACAAGCGCCAGGAAACGAATAAAGTGCGCTGAATAAGTAAAGCGAATGGAGCGTGTCGATCACGGTTTAAAAACGTCCAATGAATGGGGATGCCGCGAAGCGCGCCCCGATTGCAAGTACAAATGCTAATAACGAGATAAATCGACGACGAACGGGCATTAAACGATAAAATCCGCTAATGAAAATTACCGTGCAATAAATTCCTTTTCGACAGATTTTAGGTTGAATCGAACGATCGAAACGCGATGAATCCGACGCGATCGACGTTCGCGAATATCCGTTGGAAATATCAACGAATTGATGAAATAATCATTTCATGGTTTCAACCAAACGTAGAGTATTTAATCAACGCTCGTTATGATAATCGTCCGCGAATGGGTCGGCAAATTGGATGCAGCCGTTTTTCGAAATGCGAAAGGGAATCGGTTTACGGTTTGATGGGAGGATCACGATGCCGTCGTTATGACGGATTGACGCGGCATCCGAATATCGGTAATCCCGACGCCGATGCAATGGCGGCATATTGTCGGCATCGCATGCCGTCTCCTCGTCACCCTATTAATCCGTCATGAAGGCACGTCGTAAACGTCCCGTCCAAAAGCCCTTAACGAGCTTCGAAAGGGTACTTCGAAACTTGCGGCCATTATTCGAATTATCGAGCCGCGATCGGAAACGCGAACCATTTCTTTCCAAGACGCCGAAATTATGAAATTCATTCGTTGCGCTCAAACTACTCCGGGACTTTGAAAGTATCCTCGAATTTCAAGGCGAATGAAATAAATTCGTTTTCGTGGCAATTGACATTCCGCTCTGCGGGCAATTTTTCATGGAAATATACCTCGCCGCTCCTCTCCGAAGCGTGGTTCGCCGATACGCATACGGTCCTATCGATTTCCTAATGTTACGGAGAAATAACGTAGGTTATTTCTCCCGGGGTAATTCACAGGGGAGGAATTAAATACACGCGCGGAATGGCGGACGACGGCGGCTCGCTCCGACGTTCGTTCCGGGCGCAAAACTCCACCGCGATTTCTCTGCCGTTTCTCGTGAAGACTCGACCTCTCGGTAACGCGACGTAAAATTCGACTAACGAGAAACGGTAGAAAAAATATTATCGCGCTTATCGGGGTTAGGTGTCACTCCCCAGTTCCTATTATTTTTTTCCTTCGACCCCAGGAAATCATTGCGGCACACAAAGGGCAATTCCGTACATGGACCTCCGATTCCCAAATGTAACGGAGAGGCAACCTGCCGGTTATACCTCCCAGGGCAATTGGCAGGGCCGGAATTAAATAGAATTTAATCTTGTGACACATCGGACGGTGGACGGCACCGAGTCTGGTTAACGTCAGATGTAAGCACTTAGCGTATTGGAGTTTGATTTATTTTCTGTGTCACCCTGCCGTCGGCCAGAAGAGGGTGGCTGCATTCTATTGTATTTCTATTAAGACCCGCCCTTCTCTTCCCCCGTCACGGTCCTGCGAGGAACATTCCGAACCCCGTAGCCGTTTCGTGTCGGTTACCGTTCCTGTTGTTTGTCAGTCGCGTTAATTTCTTTATGTCGGCAATATGACGCCGATATGCCTGCGGAATAAAGGGCACGTGATACTCTTCTCCCTCCGACCGCTGCACTTTGCGCAAGCGAGTACTCCCCGTTGGTGCGTCTTTGCACGCCTGCATTACGGGAATTGAACGAACGCGAGGGTACAAGATCTTCTCCGATACGTTAAGAACTATTCGAGAACCATTTTCCATTAAACTATCGTTTTGACGGTTTCAACGGGAAGCCCAAAACCTGCCGAATCCCGGTTTCGAGTACCTACGCTGAGAAAGAAATGTCATTGAACCAAAGAAATATTTACTTCATTCAGGGATTAATTATTTCACTCAAACTCGAATAAAATGGATGCAACATTTATTCGGAATTATAGCAATTTATTTGAGCCAAACAATTATTCTTGGAATTAACGGAATATTTCTTTGATCCGATGAATTTTTTTTTTCTCAGGGTAGGATCTGCCTACGCGAAATCCGCATACATTGAGAAGGAGGTTTCTTTAATTCAGGGCGCTTTTTCGGAATCTAAGAACGAAGACACCCATAGATTTCGATAAAACGGTACATGGGGAGCGTATCCGCAAGTACATACCCCGTACTATATGGGCGTGGTATGTGATTGGTTCGCACCCCGCAAGCATGCGTCCTGGAGACCGAATATCCTGGAAATGCAAAACCCGGACCTCTTTTCCGTTAATCCTCTTTTTTAAAAAAAAATCACCTTCAAAAGTTTCTTCGGATTGTTGATTAAATCCCCGCTAAAAATTCGAAATTCCTCGATTTTTTCAAATAAATACCGCCCGAGAAGATTTAAGCGAATCCTCGAGCTTTACCTGAGAATCCGACGAAGCGGAATTCGGAGTTAAATATTTTTTGTAAGATCGTTGCACGGTGCCGCGGTCTTGCCAATTTATTATTCAGCTTCGAAAATGTCGGTTAATATAAATAATCGGTATACGCGATCAAGCGTTACACCTAGGAGTTATCGATCGATATTAATTCGAGAGTGGAACTCCCCTCAGACATCTTCGGGGTGTTTTATTCATGTCCCACCATCAATGCTCGCACAACACAGATGTCCCACGGAGGTGCCGAGGAAATATTACACCTAAAGTATACGGTATAAGCATCTCCGTCTAGATTATTTATACCCCCTATGCATTAGTCACGTTTTCATTATTCCAGAAGATTCCTAACAATATTCCCGTGTCCATTTTGCCTCGAGGTTCGCGTTCTCCCGTTCCTCTAATAGAAAAGTGGAAATTACGGGTGCATCGTTCGGAGAATCTCAATAAGTAAATCCGGAGTTATTTCGGCGAATGTCGGTAACTCGCGCCTTTCCCTCGAGCTCTCGTCACCGATCGTTCGTACGACTCGAAAATTTGACCGCGTCCGAAATTTCGCAGGGTTCTCTTTTTCGGTTTCCCCGGAGCGCGAGTCAAAGTACGGGCGATCCGAGACCATTCCGAGCCGTCGAATCGAGAAGCAACCCCAAATGGCCATCAATCCCGACAGCGGTGAGGCCGGAAGGAGCGGCCCAAAGGGGTGAGCTCGGCCCCGGCTCATCCCGACTCTTCCCGACTTACGACCGACTTACGACCGACTCGAGTAAACGCGTAAGAGCTTCTCATCACCCCCAATGAGAATCTTATCGCAAATACGACCCGACACCGAACGCGCTTCCAAGAGTGATTACGGAGAAGCGCGCCGAATCGGCCTTTCCGCGTTAATCAAAATGGTGGAACGCGACATAAAACGTACTCTCTGCACGAGCTACGTCTAAAAGAAAAAAAAGGCAACACCTCATCGTTTGAAAGTGGAATCTACTCTCGTAATTAATGGACTTCGACGACGTCCCAGGATGTTCCAGGACCTCGCTTCCCGACAGGACTCCGTCGCGTCGTCTCATCGGATTAAAGATCCAAACGTCGTCGAAGGAGATTTCGAAATTACCCCGAGCCCGGAGAGAGTATTACCGATTCCGCCATATCGAATTAACATACCCCCAAACGATCGGTCATTCCCGATAAAACGTAATCTGGGCGGCAGTAATTGCAGTAATTGGTCGCTCCGATGGAAGCGACCAATCATCCACGTGTAGGATAATTTAATATCGCGGATTGGCAGCGCTGCCGAAAGGACTCCCGAAAGGACTCTCGATGGGAACCCGGCCGAGGAGGATCAAGCAGGACTCGGTCCGCCTTAATTGATTTTCTTTGCGTTTCCGCCCGATCGAGCGTCCCCCTCCCCGGAGGGGAGCAATTATTAATTATCGGCCGTCTCGAGGAGAGTAAATCAATTTTCCGAGAGTCGAGAGTAAACCTCGCGTTATCGGCTCGGTTTCCCTCCTTCCTCCCGTATCGTTTGATCGACGGAGTCCACGGTCCTCCCAAGAAACGATCGCGAAACTGCTTTGGACGTGCACGCGAGAGGGTGAAATTAGTTTCTTCACCCGGGAACCCTTGTCAACGGAATTTCCGCAATCGACGGCAATTTCGAGGCGAAGGTTACGTCCTCTTCCTACGATACCCCTCGATTGACCCGCGTTTAGAACTCGATCGCGCGATTCCCCCCGACGATCGTCGCAGTTTCTCGAAAAGATCGAGCCATTCGCGGTAATCGCGAAATAAAGCATCGAGCACGGTGCGAGCGTAATCGAGAATCGTGGGGCTGTCGGTGGCACTTGTTCGGCTGGCCGTATAAATGGTTCTCGCGGGCGGGGGCAAACAAGCCAATCGGCCGATAATCTCTCGGAAGAGGCGACTGCTCGTCCTCATCGACGGCACACCCAGATGGCGGGACAAAAGCCGACCCGGGAAAGTGTGGGGCAGGCTCGAATCACCCGGTCGCACGCCCCGACTGCGTCCCCGGGGACGGGAGCGGAGACGTCGCAGCGGTATTATGATGTCGGGACCGGTCGCGCGGTTCGGCGCAGTTACTCTTCGCTCGGCCCCGCCAAATTGATCTCTCCATTGCCGTCCGCTGATTACGTCTCCTCCGATCGAGGGATTACTCTTTGAAATATGCACGAGCCCCGCCAAGATCGTCGCCGGCGACGTTTACAAAGCGCTAAACGACCGGACCGAAGCCGGTGGATTTGTCAAAAACAAGGCGGCGCGGTGGAGCGAACTCGTGCCTCCGAGTCCTCCGCGCTTTCCTCGTTTTCTAAAGTGTCATTGTAGCGGGGAGCCGGCAAAGTTGGCGCGGATCTGCGAAATTCATGTCCGGTGTCGTTCCGCGTTACGGGGAGACCCCGCCGGCATTTTACCCCGGTATCGATTGTTACTCGAAAAGTGGTCTATAGGGATTCGAGGTAACGACGAAACTTTCATATTTCAATTCCACCTCTTCCAATTAGCGATCGCTCCCGACTGTCCTGAATATTCATCCGAGGCGCCGCAATTGATTAAAGGGCAATTCCGACGGGATATTCTCGAGCAAGGAGGGTGTACACTCGGGAAAGAGGGCGTTACGCTGATCTTGCGTATCCGGTGGATTGCGGATTAAAAATGAACGCGGGAACAAAGTGGAAGGGACGACCGAAAGGGCGATTCGCCGGCGATCGAATTTTGTCGTCTCGATTCTCGCCGAAACGCGAACCCGATATCGTCCTCTCCCGCTTGGTCGAATCCTATCGGTCGCAACGTCTTCCTTGAATTTTTTTCCGCGATGGAAACGTGTTTTTTTAATCCTGGCTCCCCTCGCGGGAGCGCGTCGGGGGCGTAACGTTCATTAGGGATGTAACGTAGAGGGTGATTAACATAACTTGACGGATTAGCGTGTGGCTTAGCGCGGGCTCATAGTTCATGGCCATTGGGTACTCTCTTAATCCAATAAGGGAAGTAACTCACCCTCTAGAGGGTAGCCAATAGCCGTGAATAATTGGCACGGCCATGCTCTCGCGGACCTACGCCCCGGTCCGTCGAATTACGCGAATCACGTTGTACGTCACGTTTTTACCCAATCTACTAACTAACGATAGCGGGTTCATAAGAAATACATTACTTGGATATCGATACGCGTAAAAATATAATATCATTCCCGTGGATTGAAACCGCGCTTAAACGAGTGGTCCATAATTGTATTGACATTGGGCGAGAATGAATAAAAGTGGAGGAATCGCGAGAGGAGAGACGGGAAAAATAGAAGTAACGATAATAACAAACCGGAACTCGGAATGGCCAGTTTCAGGTGGTCCGCGTTAACGATACACCAAGTATCCGGTGTCAGGTCCTTTGCCGTTTCAGGCATCGAGGCGATGAAAGCGAGGTCGAGATGATTGGAACAACACAAAGACACGAAATGCTCCTAATTTCGCTTTCACGTTACACTTCGAGAACCAGAAAAGGAAGTCGGACCCTCTTGGCTTGGCTTCGACGATTTGAAAAGACCATTCTCGCCGACAGCGACGGACGAAACGTTATTTACCGTAAAAGTATATTTAGATTTTTTTGATTCAATAAATTACGAAGAATAACGTTCCCGTTCCCTTGGGAATATCCTCTCGATCCCGGCAATCGGTAATGCACAGCTGAGACATCGCGTTACCCTATCTTAAGCACCTCCTCTATATCCGAGTCCCCTGTATACTTTATGCCCACCATAAAATGTAGATCATGTTCTAAATATTCTCCGCGATTGAAAAGGGACCCGCAACCCCCGGAATGGAAGCCCCCGTCGGATTTGGACATTCCGATTTTGAGCAAAATTCAGGGACGAGTGACGTGACTTTTTCGGACCCCGAACGTTCAAGAGATCGCGTCTTTCGAAGGAAGACTACGGGATGGAACGCCCGAAAGCGGTTCCGACCGAAGCAAAGGAAAAGTACGCCATTGAGGAAATCTGACGAATGCTCTCCATCCTTGATTTAGATTTTCCCTCGGCAACGAGTTATTGCACGGTGGAACCAATCGCCGTTGCAATTTATTTCGCGGGCAATTTTTCCCGAGCGCACGGGGCACGTTTGTACTTTCACGCTTGACCTTGGCATCTCGATCTTCTTATATGCAGTTAAAGGTCTGCAAGGGAAATCACTCGGCATAATATGCACAATGTGTCTTAATGCCTGTGACTCAGACTCCATTCCCTCTTCCAAAATGGCTGCTTACAAGAGGCGGCCGGGGTAAAAAGACGATGAAGGTAATAACGTAGTATCGCTAATAGCCGAGCAATTTCGGTGAATGCGAGTGTTCTTCGGTTTCGTCCTCTCATTCTTTTTTAATGCCTTATATACCTCGTCGGTTCTCCCGGGCCGCGGTGGTAGTCGTCCTAAAAGAATCCGATTCGAAAGTTAAACGTCGTTGGTAAACGGTCCTAGTCGCGATCCACCCTCCCAGGACAGGATATTGTTTCGCCGAGAAATTAGACGGGGCCCCGTTAAAATTAAACATATTTATTGTTCGCTTTCTGAATCCCCCTTAATAACTTTAAAGGGAAATGGACGCCTCCACTTTGTCGTTTTTTCCCCCCTTCCTCCCGTTAATGACAGACGTCCTCGAGTCTCTCGGCCGCCTTTAACGTAAAACGCGGCCAATCGATGGAGGGCCCTCTAACTCTCCTCAAGGGACAAACTGCGAACTGTTAAACGAATTTCCTTCCCTGCAAATTGCCCTGTAGCTGCCACTTGTCCGGCCCGAAAAGCTCGTTGGAAGTGAGTCGACTTTCGGTCTTTCGGTATAGATATTATACCCGATCGATCGCGATAGAGACAAACGGCAATGACGTTAACGAAATCAAACGATTCTCCGGAATGCAAATATGGAATTTATTACGTTTTCGTAGTCACGTTGTATTACGGGCCCGTAATATTATCTATTCTGCGATTAGATTATCCAAATCGCAAATGCTACTCGATTGTTTAACGGAACACATACGACCCTACTTATTTTCTATTAGATCTGGCAGGATTTTATACGACGCCCTGGGACGATATCAAATTGTTGCAATAAATAAAATGATCGCTTCCCCTAATAGAACATCACGTCCCAATTTCGCTCACCCCTGGCTAAGATAAATGCGACGACAAAAACATTTACCACCGATCGCAAGTAGACAACATTTAAAAATTAGCTACCTAGTATTGCACATTGTTAAGTATATTACTAGTTTAATACTTATCCACGTAGTGTGGTAATACCAGAACCGTGAAGCGATTGGACCATTGTCCATGCCCTTTTGTTCTTAAAGTTTAGCTTCTTAAGTTAGTAATAAATACTAATACTATAAAATGTCTGCTGGATTATTAGAGAATCCAGTTACTTCACAAATAGTAGCTGCAAGTCTCCTGGAATGCTCCAAAACACAAGAAGGCGTTGCCAGTCCTAAATGAACGCAATAGAGTTCATAGATTCGAATCTTGTTTATAGAGATCTTTGGGAAGCAAGTCTCCGCAAGTTTCCTGTTTCGAAGAAAAGAAATATTATTTAACGAGAACTAAGAGCTTCTAAGAGAACTAATACTTCAACTAGAATGTTAGTGCTAAGTTCCAAACCGGTAATAATCTCCACATAGTATTCCAGGAACTGGAAAATTTTTTATAAGGTGATTCATGTATGTTTTGCATTTCAAAGGCGAGCCCTGAAATATAAAAGAGCAAAATTAAAGATAGCTGAATTAATGCCTAACTTTACGCTAATTAATAGCAGAACTCTTCGGATTCCATGTTCTTGAAAAATCACAACACTCACCGAACTGTCCTCGAACCACAAGAAATATGCATAGTTGAATGTTGTATCTTTCCACATAACCGATAAAATACCTTCTTGTAAATGAGTTCTACTCTGATCTACCATCGCCCAAATCTATCCAAATAAATATTAATGATACACGCTAATTTTGACAATTATAATTAATTGTCATTATAGATTTTACTGACCTTCCTTGTCGTAAGAGCAAGAGTTTCTGGACTACTAAAATCTAACGTCGGTGTTGTTAATCGATGCATCGTCCTATCGATGTACATAAAGTGCACTAGACCAGGAAACTCCTCAAGATATTTGTTAATCGTTAGGGAAGTTTTCGTAAAGCAGGTATTAAGGATGTATACTCGCTGAATGAAGCAGCATATTTTAAAAATTCGGATGACAAAGACAAACTGCTAACATTTGACTTTTCATAACCATATGTAATAAAACAGTAAAAAGAGTGCAAAACACAAAGAATGCAGTTTTTATTTATAGTGAGAACTAAAGGTGCTTGTGAAATTTAAAAATAAACTTCTGTGATTTTTTTAGAAAATATGTTATTAAAGGATATGATCCCAAGGTGAAGTTCTTCAATGCTTTGACTCTGAAGAAGTCCGAGAAGTCAAGTAATTTTTGTCTAACGAGTCGGCTGACGGTAAGCACGACATCGGTTCCAAGTTTCAAAAAATTATCGTTGAAACAAGTCAAACGAAATAATTCTTTCATGGTTTCAGTAAAACCTGAAGTATTTGACTCAATCTGAAGTATGGATTGTGGGTCTCGGGTTTTAATAAGTTCGGTGTACTTCTTTCTCACAAAGTCCCATTTAACTTGTAGCCTTTTGTGGCACATGTCGACGTCGTTATTGACACCCAATTTATTCTTTCTAATACTCTCAAGGGCCTTCTTTATCGCCATATCCAGATTATCGAAAGCTGGTCTTATGTCGTCTATATCTTTTTGCAGTTGCAATCCATTTATCACATTTAAATAGTAAAAACTGTCATACAGCCCCGACGATGTTCCCAAATTGGTAACTTCCACAATTGTTAATAAATTTATGCCTTCGGCTAATCGATATATGTAAACGGCATTAGCGGAAAAACCGTTTGTTGACTCCAACAAAACTAGATGTTTGCAGAGACTGTCTTCAGCCAATGACTTTAAATCGTACATCGACGAATCCCTGGATCCCTCTGTTGATTATAAATTTGTTAGTAACTAGTGTAGACCGTTAATATAAAATAGGAATAGATTAGTAAATTAGAAAATAAATAAAACTGAAATTGAAACTCAATATAAACTATTAAAAAATAATAACACATTAGTAATGATATTTTACATGCACTACCGAATAAGTCAGCGATATCCACTGACATAGGATTGGATAAACTGTCTACGTGTCTATGCGATGGCATATGGTCTTCTTTGTTGAACATACTACTTTCTATCAACAAATCCTCATCTTCATCTTTCTCCTGAAATTCAGTAGTGCCGTCTTTTCCCTTCCCATTTGCCACCCAGCATAATAATACCATCAACAAAATATCCGAGGCACTTAAATCTTGAGCATTTTTGCTTGAATACAACGAGAGAAACTTATGCTCTACTAGCACTAAAACATGATGATTAGCAAGTTCCGGCTGTGCCTTTAATTTGTCAGAAGCTTCGTGTAATACTTTCAAAGTTGCAGTCGATAAATCTGAATTAATGGATAACTGTTCGACAGCCTCTAATAGCACCGTTTGTTCGCAACCATACAAATGTGTCCACGCGTCTAATAATAACGATACCAAAGACGTCAGCCTACGGTTCGATTTTAACCTGAAACAACCAATACCTCGTTTCACTCGCAAAATATTTTTGCTTATTAAAATAGTTGAAAGATATAAGTAGAAGCCACTATTACCTATCTATATTTGGTCCACATAAATGCTTAACAACAAATACACAAATTCCCAATTTCCTTCTCATTATCTCCACCCCGTCGGTTGAAATATATAAAAATGTATAGCTCATGAATTCATCGAACACCAAATTCGTGCCATTATGGCACTTCATCGACGTATACGAATTCCCAAATTGCGAGGTCATTACATGTTCTGATGTTATAATTGGCGAGAATAATTGCATAATAACATTTGCACTAGGTATCGGGCAACTATCGTCGTCGCCCTAAAAATGCAAATGCAGAAATGTTGTATAAATGATAGATCAATATATATTACGACCGATACATTTAATTACGGTAACGTCCACCAATATATAAAAAAAAAAAATTAGATATTAGATGCATCGAAGCCAAAAATTACTTACTCTAATTTCGGAAAGTAACCCTTGGGCAGTAGCAAGTTTTTGGACATGGCAAGCAAAAGCTCTGTCGCATTTAGTAAAAATCACATCGTTCAGATGATCAAAAATTAAAATCCCCCTCATTTTGATATTTGCTGTAAAAATTGTTAAATCGTTTCACGTTCTCTTGCACACTTTTTTAAATGACAATCCTAACCTAACCTCCAACAATTCGGTGCGTCGACCATTGCTACCGTGAATTAACGTACACACCTCGATGTTTTCTCCGTGTAGATCACCGAAACACCATGCCGTCTCTCTCGTCCTCCTTGGTCGAACGCGTGCACACGGCGCACTGATATACGGGTATAAACTCCCCAGTTCCGCCTGCATTCTTACCGGATGGTATTTTCCAGAGATTGCTCACGGACAGGGTCGTGCGACGCGTTCCGTGCTGTCCTCGGTGGAGAATGCGGACGACTCGTGCACTTGCCCTGAATCGAGACGCCTCTGGCAGCACCGTATTCTCCTAACTCATCTCCGCGTCGGGTCACTCCCGGCAACTCGACCACGCGAACGCGTCATCACCATAGGTCGGCTGAGGGCGCCACGTTCGCGTTATTCCGAACCAGGCGAGCACGAGAACCCGTCGAGGATGACTTTCGCGGGAGTCGGACAATTGCCGCGCGATTCCTTTCTCGGTTCTCGGCGGAGAGTCGGCCTCGCGTTCCAGAGCCGACCGCGAGGTCGACTCGAGGTGACTCGAGGCGTCCCAGGTCTCGGGGCAGACCGCGTTTTCCTCCTTTCGATTCAACGGAACGAACGGTTCCACCAAAAATGTAGACGGACCAGAAAAAAATTCCATACCTCTCGGAGCGCAACGTCCACCGAAAATCCTCCGTAAAGTTGACTCGAAGAAAAAAAAATATACGTCCTCGCTCGAACGAGGGATCGCGCGATCATGTCCTGCTGCGAGGGGTCCATCGGCTCGGATAGATTTCCTGGAACGGGATGTTGCGGTGGGTAGCCTAGCTTCGCGAATCCAAGTATCCCGTTTACGCGAAAGCGTTCCCCGTTTATTAACCTCTCCGGCTTCTTCGGCCGGACCGACGTTTCGAGTTATCGCCTCGAAATCGGTAAACGATTACATCCGGCGATTCGATCAGGGAGCACCTGCGCCGGCAGCAAGGCCGGCTGCTCGGCCTCGGAGCCGAGGATTCGCTCCTGCTTCTGCCAGCGGAACGTCGGATGTCTGGACCGGGCCGACTGCGGGGGCTTTCGCCCCCGAGGGACGGCGGCGACCGGGGCGTGCCCCGGACCCTGCCAGTGCGCCGAGGAGGAAGCTTGGAACCGAAACGTCCCGCCGAAGCCCAACTGCGAGTGGCTGAGCAACTTCTCCGAGCTGCGCCGCCAGTGGAGCGACCACGGTCGTCGGAACACCTGCAAGTGCTGCAACTGCCGACCCTGGTAAAGATTCACCCTCGCGCTAAAAAAATTTCCCCCGGAAACGGTAAGAGAAATAAGCCGCGAGTCTTGGTTCGCAGCGGAACGGCGGCGCCGTGCCGACCGTGCCTTCCACCGACGCCGTCCTGCTCCACCGGAACCCTGCCTCCGCCCGATTGCAAGGTAATCCTGCCGTTGGAGCGAGCGGCCGAGCGATCACCGGATCTACGTTTCAGGAGTGCTGCGAGGGCCGCCTCGCGGGGGGCGCCTGCGGCCCCGCGTCGGGGGCATGCTCCCGCACCCCTGCCAGCTGCCGGCCCTGCTCGCCTTCGCCCAGGCCCATCCTCAAGAAGCGCAGCTGCTGCCAGTGCATCGGCGGCTACTGCCTCTGCCAGCCCATGGCGCGCACCTGCAACTGCCCCCCGCCGGTGCAGGTGGACGCCAGGGCGGAGCGCGAGTGCTCCTGCGACTGCCCCTCCTCCCCGGAGTGCGCCTGCCCCCCCAGCGAGCGCCGTTTCCCCAGGACGAAGGTCAAGTGCCCGAACGCGCGCCTCTGCTGCCCCATGCCGCGCCTGCCCCCCGGGCCCAAGTGCTGCTGCACCCGGTGCCAGCCCTGCCTGCCGCCTCCCTGCGACCCCTGCACCTCCACCAAGTGCCGGGGCAAGGTGCCCCAGGTCGCGCCCTGCAGGCCTCGGTCGCCCTGCCCGCCCAAATCTCCCTGCCGCCCCGGATCCCCGCCGCCCCCGGTCTGCCGGCCCCTGCCTCCCTGCGCGTCCTGTCGCAAGATGGCACCGCCCTGCAGGAGCCCCGAGACCTCCTCGACGACCGACTCCACCAGAAGGCTCGCCAGCGGCTGCTCCGCCCCGGGTCGAGGATCAGGTCAGTCCGGGCCTCGGGTCGACGGAGACGACGGAGAGGGTCCCGACGGAGACGGTCCCCGGTCGGCGGAGGCTGCGTCGAGATTTAGGAATCTTCCGGGTGGGCCCGAGGCAGCCTCCGTCTCGGAGGACCAAACGCCGAACCGAACGATTAACGACGAGACGTAGTTTACATTTTATTTGGAAAGTTGTCGCCCTCCGAGAAGCAGGAGACTGATCGTCCCCTCGTCCCCTTGTTGTGACCAAAGGTGTGTGACGGTGTGGTGCCTCCGGCAGGTGCCGACGAGAGTCGTCAGGAGCGACCCGGGGAGCCTCGCAACGTGCTCTCGTTCTTCGTCGACCTCGGACGCTCCGTTTTCGTGCCCGGTCCCCTCGCCTTCGTTTCCTTCGTCCTGCTGATCCTCCTTGCCGTCGCCCTCACCCTCTGCCATCGATACTCGGCCTTCGGCAAACCGTGCTCAAGGTGTCCCGCTCGATGACGACCAGGACGCAAACGTAATCAGTGTACTCGTGATTTCTCGTCTCTCGCCGACGATCGAGAAAGTTTGCGACCAAGAAAACTTTTTTAAAGCTTGGCGCAACTTTTCCTGCTTTTTTCTTGGAATTGGGAAAGGGTCGAAAGACGTTTTCCTAGATTTGTGATCGATCTCGGTGTCTTGGACTGGAACCTCGCAGGAATCGACTGGAGAGACGGAGGAGACGCGCGCGATGCGTCGAGGAGGTGTTCTTTTGCGGAAACCGAGGATTCCGGGGATCGATGTTCTCCGGTCGAGAACGATCGCAGGTATCCGCATTCGATGATTACCCGCTTCCAATAAATATGTCACGTTTCGGAGAAATTCGGTATAAATCCTTCGTTTATGGTAAAAGTGCGCTTTTTCGTTGTCGACTAATTCATCTATTTCCGATTGTAGATTTATGCGGTCCCGGCCACATTCTGGGATGAGCTCTTCTCAATGCCAGCCGGAGCAACGGTTGGCACGATTCGGACAAGATCAACGAGAAGGGTGCCGTTCGCATCAAGATCTCCAACCCTCCGACAATTTTCGGTGTCCCATGTGTCTCTCCGTCCTTTCGACCGTGCTTCCATGGGGCGGTCCGGCACTTCAAAACTGCTCACCTACGAATTCCCATCCTCGAGGTCCAGTTTACAATTTCGACCGAGGTCATTCGTCTCTAGAGTGCCCCTGGAAACTTTCGCGAAACGATTACCAGCAGGAAAGGGACAGTGGACATCGTTACGGGCAGCAAAGCTGTCCCGGCGAAATCTATCGAGGCGTCCTGCTCCTGGACGAGGATATTCGTAATTACCCCCTGAAGAACCATTCCGCGAATTCGCGACCAGGGGACATTCTGCCGGATGATCGGACCGAGGACCGGCAGGGTCCCACGGTTTTCCTCAAAGTCTCGGAATTTAATTTGACTACCTGCAGTTCCTTCGGTAATCTGGCTCAAACGCCGGCGGACCTTTGGGAATTTCCCCGGGATTCCTCGAATTTTTCGGGAAGAAATCAGTGCCGCTGTGGACCCCGTGGGAAGTCTTGCGACGAAGAGTGCAATTTCTGCTGCGCTCTGGATTGTGCATCTCGAGGGGAGGACGGAGATAATATTTCGAGTGGAGATGACCCGCGGACAACGAACGATGGAAATGCAGATGTCGAGCTTGTTTACGGGGCCACTGGAGATGGGAACGCAAATGTTTGCGCCGTGAATTCCGTGGTCTCCCGCGGTCCCGAGATCAAGAATATCTCGAAAGCGATGTCGGGATCCGACGCGAGTCGAGTTACCTTCAAAATCGGTGACATCGGCTGTCATGCGGTTCCAGACGTCGTTGAAAGTCTTTCGTCTTTGAGCGAGAAGAATTCGTGCTTAAAATTTTCAACCGATAGAGAAAGGCACGACGAAAGCAGAGAATGTCCGATAGAAGAGATCACGGACGACGATCCGAGCTGACGCCTTCGAGGAGTTCCTGTCGAAAAAACGTCAAATTGTAAAATGTACTATCGATTCTCAAAGCTGCCTCGATATCGACGTCACCTCGGATTTCGACGTTCCTCCATTCGCTGCTACTGGAGTTGGTCACCCGCGACACGTAACTCCGCGATTGATACCCCAAATCGGATAATTTATGCGAATACACGCGCGATAATGTAAAACGGATCCGTTCACCGACCGCAGCGGATGGATGGCTCGACGTCCACGGACGCGATCTCAAAACGAATCCCTTCCTAGGGACACGGAATAATTTAGAAATATTCTTTTGCGATCTTTGCTAAATGTCAAAACGGTTCTTTAAATACGTAAAAAATATAAGAGAAATACTTTGCGCTACCGGGGCCGCCTCGTCGAAGCTTCGGAAAACCCGCGCCTCCTATATGTCGCATGAAAAATGAGGCGAAACGCTGAAAAGTGCCGCCTCGGCGGAAACTTTTCCCAGCCGGTAGTCAGTCGAGTAAAGCAGGATTTGTCGAGGCTCGACGAGGTTCGCGCCAGGTAGAACGGGGAGGAGAATTTCGTGAGCAGGTTCGATTAGCTATTCCGGGATATTTTCTCGCGAGCGAATTAAGAAGTTCCGGGATCGAAGAAACTTGGACCCGGGGAAGTATCGAGAGAGGAGGCGGGAGGAAGTTTAAAGCTGGGCGAAGTATCGGGAAAGCTGACGAGCCGGAAAGCCGTTCGCTCGATTTCCTCGCTCGCGCGAGATTATCGCGAGAGTTGGCCGATAGTCCGGCGACCCATCGCGGAAATTAATGCACGAGATGCCGGCCGCGCGATTTTCTAATATCGCGCGAGGCGGAAGCGGCGGGGCCGATAAGCGAATTTTACTACCCGGCGATGGCAGCTATCGCGCTCCAACCTAGGCGGCGTCTACGACTCGGAAAGGAAGCTTCCATCTCTCCCGCCGCCTCTGCCGCCGCCTCTGCCGACGCCTCTGCCGACGCCTCTGCCGACGCCTCTCCCGACGCCGCCGATTCGGACCGGCAGTCGGTGAGATGACTCCTCGAGGATCGGTTTCGCTGCTGGTCCTGCTCCTCGTCGCTCAACCGCGACTCTCCGGGGCCGACGCCGACGACCCCGAGGGCTGCTTCGTCTGCGGCCAGTACAGGTAACCAAGAGGATCCGACCTCCCTCTCCCCGAGCGAGTCTTCCGTTTAAGGAAAGATTTGGACTCGCGACTCAGGTGCCCCGCGGATTCCGCCAAGTGTCTCCTGGGCTCGGTCTCGGACCCCTGCGGATGCTGTTCCGGAGGAATCTGCGCCAGGCTGGAAGGGGAGCCTTGCTGGAACTCCAGCATCCCGGAACTGCCCCGGAAGGCCCGCAACGAGGGATTCTGCGCGACTAATTACCTCTGTCAGCTGCGGTCGGACCTTCAACCGGAGGTACGCGTACCTACGTTTTGTCACCTGCGCGACTCGGATGAGCTCCTTGGCGCGTTATCTCGGTTTTCGAGTAAACTTGGCCATACCTCGAGTCTCCCCCGCGACCTCCTCTCGTCGCACCGTTTCCAATTTCGCCGTTACGAGCTCGTAAACGGGAACAATGACGATAAGCCCGAGGCGTCGGCCTCCTACGTTAATTCGATGAATTGGGGCGATGTCGCGAAGCGAAACTCGGTGTCGGTGACCCTTGTCTTGCACTCGTGGGCGGACGAATTGAGCGCCGGGTAATCAAACGATGAAACGATGCGACGATGCGACGACTCGAGGGCGAGTCGACCCTCGTCCGACCGAAGACGTTGCAGGACGAGCCCGAGGCCGTCTGCGTCTGCATGGAACGGAGTCCGGCCTGCGGGAGCAACAACGAGACCTACTCCACCCCCTGCGCCCTGCACGAGGAGGCCATGAGGTCGATGAACTCCACCCTGCGACTTCGGAATCTGGGCCCCTGCATGAGCAGACCCTGGATCCTCTCTCCCTTGGACGACGTGGCGTCCTACCTCGGCCAAAGGGTCGCTCTCAACTGCGAGGTCAAGGGGTTCCCGGTTCCTGACGTCGCCTGGGAGTTCCACTCCGCCGATGGAGGCAGGGTCATCAAACTTCCCAGTGAGTGTTCGTGCCTCTAAACCTGATCTCCGCTTTTATTTTTTATTCCTACGTTTTGGCGAGCAAATCCTTCATCCTTCCGTAGGGTGACTTAAAGCTCGAGGAGAGTTACAGATAACGCGAAATGTTCGAAGGCGAGGAGCACGAGGGAACGGTGGACACGAGGGAAGGTCCCGAGCCCCTGACGAGGACGTCCTGGATGCAACTCGCAAGGCTGGACAGGAACCTGATCGGGACGTACCACTGCATCGCCAGTAATTCCATCGGAGAGACGAGTACAGCTTCGACGGTTTCCGTGTTATCGAATTAATCCTCTCTGCGATCGAACGGGGGTGGATTAATTCGAGAGGAGAGATCGAAGAGACGCGGTCGGTGCGACATTATTTTATATTCTTTTTTATTTAAAAAGAAATCGACGCGTGCGAGCGAGCTTTCCTTGCTCGCTCCTTGTCGTCGATCGAGCGGATTAAGTTGTCAACGCTCGTTGGAATCTCTTGGCAAGGGTCTTCGTATATAGATTGTATACGTCAAATAAAAACGTTATTACAAAAGCACTGTAACGTTGCGGGTAACTCGTTGAACGGTGAACCCAGCGGAAACTCTCGTCACCAGTTCTCTTGGGGAGGTGGTGGTCTAAAGGAGGAGAGTATTTGTCAATCGACTCGATTATTTGTAAAAAAGATTTTTCGTTTCCTAATTACCGGATTACTTACTCCGGAGTCCTCCAAGTCTCCTGCTCGACAACTACCGTGTCGGGACTTTCTCTGTTTGAGACGAAAAAAAAAGGGAAAAAGGGTTGAAATCAAGTTGCTTAATATAGAGGGGACGAAATTCTGATTAAGTAACGGATGAACTAACGTTCTGGACGCTAGAAGAGCCATTTCCTTAACGGAACTCTCCTTTCTGTAGACCGAGGCCAGGGCATGCGACATGGGAGTACTCGCCATCATTACGATGGCGCAAATTAAGACGGCGAACCAGAAACCATCCTGGAGGTCAGAAATCATTATTGAAAAATATTAAAAAAAATTCATTCCGGAATTTTTAAACGTTACGACAAGTTTCCAAAATGGAACAATATTATGATCCGCGGTCCTTCGAAGGACGGAAACTCTATTGAGAGTTTCAGTGATTCGATCAACAGGTGAATCAAAGCGCCATCCGCTCGTCAATTAAAATTCACCCGTCGGATTAAAAAATTCCTGAATTATTACTCCCTCGAGCGAAATTTCCTTCGTTTTCGCGATCAGATGTAAATTTGTATCGACTCGTTCCCGTGACCGAATGGCGTTCGACGGCTCGCCTACACGAATCGTTATTAACATTTGCGCATAGCAATTGATATCGACGTGGATCTAGTCGTGGCTCACCATTGCGCCGAGGATATGTTGGCATATTATCGATCTGACACCGTTTAGAATATCCCATAACGGTCCACACTTTGCCACCCCTTCTCCCATCTCCGAAAGTGTATGCGTTCGCCATTGATCCAGATATCCGCTAAGTCGATCCGTGTACGATTTTGTTTTCTGAAAAAATTCCGGATTCACGGTAAAAAAAAAATCAAATGAAGAAATTAACAGAGAGGGTAGAGGGTTACCAGCTGGGCGATCTGCTCCCCCTGATTGTCGATGTAATACTGAATGGTTTTCAGGTGGGAGATGGACTGATTGACTTGTCGCTGAAGAGGGATCAATTGCAGCTCCAAGGCTGCCAATTGGTAGACCAATTCGTCTTGGAGCTTCATCAAGGGTTTCACTCGTCGCGACAATAAGGTCCTCATGGACGAGGCGATTCCGTCGAACTCCCTAGCGGTGGTTCTGTCCTTTATCTGACGAGCCACGTTTTCCATCTGATCGGACATGGCGCCCAAGTCCTTGTTCAAGATCGGCCCTTGGATCTGGAGGTGAATCGTAATTTCAAGCACTTTCGAGGTACTCCGGCAAAGTAGGCTCGAGTGAATCAAGTCCTTCGGGGCTCACCATTAGTCTATGCTCGGTCAAATTTGGACCACAGGCATAGAACAGGCTCTGCAGTTTGAGTTGCAGATTAGGCGTGAGGATCCTGAGTCCTTTCAGGTCGACTTTCAACCTGGACAACGCTCTCGACAACCCGGACCAGGTCCAGTGAGCCGTGAGTTGCTCCAGTTTCATCGAGCTTCCCAGTTGGAAAGCTGGATAGGCTGCCTCGTTCTTTTCGCATTTTCTGAGGTAGCATGAAACACAAAGCTGCGTTTTAATGGAAACGTTACGAGTAAATTGACTAATGCCGGCGCAACGAAGATCGAAGATTTCTCGAAAATTTCTACCGGAAGGTGCTTCGATTTACCGAAAGAGGTCTCTCAGAGAAAGACTCAGTCTCCTTCCCAGAAACGCTCGGGTCTCGAGAATGGCCTCTACGGTTCGAAAATCTGGATCGTACAGTGGTCGGCAAATCAGCATCTCCGTATGGCTGGAAATTGCCAGAGTCATCGCGAAGACGCCCCATAGACCGATCGAGACGAAACAGGCTAGCAGGACCGAGCTGGAAGAAAAACAATGGATTAATCGTAATTAACGATCGTTTATTCCTAATGCAAAAAAAAGAAAAAATATTCGAAGTCACCATAAAAGTATGGGCCTCGTCTTCTCCTCGGAAGATCCGCAGCGACAGCAAAGGGCTGCTACCAGCAAGGACCAAACCAAAAGGACGCATACCACGGTGCCTGAAAAATCGGGGAAAAGAGCAGACAATTTATCGTGTCATCTGGTTTACGATTATGCGACTCTTCGCGACACGCCTCTAGGTCGAGGTCGATAAGAGAGTCCTTCGTCAGCTTCGAGCCCCGGGCTCCGATTCGATTAGATGGAAAGGACCGAGTCCTTCTTTTTCGGTTTTCGGTGCCTTGTCGTCGGAACGAGGCATTCGAGAGATTCTCTGGGAGCTTATTTCGATAAAGGGTTTTCTCGCGAAGATCTCTTCTCCGAAAGAGCTCTTCGAGCTGGCTTAGCCATATCCCAGGATCTTTCTCGCGAGTAGGAATATTTGATCAAGAAGGCTCGTTCAAATTTTCTTAACGACTATCGGAGAAGGTAAGGTAATGTCGTACCTATGCCAACGAACCATCGAATGTCGTCGAGATTTTCGAGGTAGGGAATTATGTAGCCGGTGACCCTCCTCGCCGAATCCAAATGCTTGGAGAGCTCGGAGCTGCTGATCTCCAAACTTCGAGCCTGCTCGCCGATTCTGGAGCGAGCCGAATTTATCTCCCTGCGAATGTCTGAAACATCCGACTCTTTCGATGCCAAGTCTAAATAATATTCTTATTTATTATTTACCCTAACGTCAACGGGGCTCGAGTTATCGTCTTTATGGATGGACACCGGATAATTATTACCGGATATCGAGTTAAGTCGCGTAATCCGACCCCCGAGTTTATTTTCTCCGCCCGGGCAATAACGAGGCATTCCTTTTTCGAGGCGATACTTCCTATGGATTTCGCATTAGCCCCTTTTCTGGGGTCTACGGAAAGACGAGGAGGGTTCCTACGGGAGTAGACGAGGTCAACCGGGAGTAACCGCAGGGAACATGACGTCTTGTCAACAGAGGGAACGTACCCTCCCATCGATCTTCCGCTCCGACTTCGACTCCGAAAAGAGGGCTAAAACCTGAGCTCGGCGCATTCCTAACCCCTTGGTTCGACAACTTTTGCGCGATATTCGCGAAAATGTTAAATATATCTCGCGAGACAATATGAAAGACTCTTATACCGTTCCTGGCATCCAAGGTAGACCTCGACACGTGGACGGGAACGTAAAGGTACTCTCCTCGAGCTTGCCGTCCAACTTCCGTCAGATTTTCTCGTCCGGTTCCTCGCAGGCGAAGCAGGCGATCGTCTCGCAGCAGCTGAAACGCGAAAAAGGTGTCTCGCGAGCACGATAAGTCCGAAAACTAGGTACGAATAATTATTTCGAGTTTCGATCTTGATTATCGAGCAAGGGATCGCCTAAGAGGAACTCGGCTGCCGTTAGTTCGCGGTCTGCTAACGACCACGAGCTTTTGCCACCCGAGCATGGACTTTCGTAATTAACGTCACCTCGGAACCGATGACTGGGTTTTCGCGGCCGTCTCGTCATCGCCTTTGCCATTAATCACTTTGGGGCGTTCGCGCCCCCCGAGGGCCGGGGGCGGTCGATGTCTTTGAATTTTTCTCCGACCCTCTTTCTCCTTTCCCGGACGACATTCTGCGGAGCCCATCGGAACGGACGACTTCGGGCCATTTCCATTTCGGAGGGAGCAAAAGTGCCTCTGGCTTCGCCTTTCGGAATTCGCTGGCCCCCGGGTGAAGCGTGTCGCGAGAATTTGGCGGGATCGAGACGGTCGGAGAAACTCGAAGCGAAACGAAGAGATACTCATTTTTTGACGCTCAATGTTCCCCGCGTTGCGAATGGCCGATTACGGTTTCGGCGAAAGAGGAAATTACGTCGAATACGTTCCAGCCGGGCGAGAGCAAAGTGCTGATCCGACCGCGAGCTCGGTAAACATTTGCCGGTGAAATTAATATCGCCGGCTCCGCTTCTGGGACTCCTGCTCCGACAGTTCTCGGCCGAGCTCCCTCGGAATATTGCGAGCGTTCAACGCAATTCAATTACTCGAGGCACTTCCTCCGGAGACGCGTACCTGCCGGGAAGGAACTTCTTACGTTTTTATATTCACATCGTCTACCATTTTTGCCTCGACACGGATCGGCGATCTATCACCTCGAAATACGATTTGATTCGGGAAATCGCAATTACGTTAAATTCGACTACAACGGGGAACGCTGCATTCGAGTATTCCGTCGTCTTTCGTTTTTTTTTCCGTTCGCCGCGAACGCTCTCGGGGCGATTTCGAGTATCGTCAATCCGGACTTCGGTAAATGAACCTCTCTAAACGCGATAAATCGATTGCATTCGGCGGGTCGCCATTTAATTGAGCCAATTAAGACCCCGCGTCGATTTTACCTGGAATAAAAAATCCCCCAGGACTCTTACGTACACCTTTCAAAATTCATTTTCCACTTTCCGATCAATCTCTGGAAATCTCTCCACCGGGGTGAAAACCTTTTTCCAAGAACTCTACCGATGGTTGGCACCGAAACGAATTTTTCCCGCATTCCCATACGTTCACGCCCGACGAACCCATTCCGCGTTCCTCCTTTCATTGGACGGGACAAATCCGCAGCTTTCCGCCGGGCCGGGTTTTAATTCTCGGTCGGCGATAAATTTTTTTCGCCCGGCCAATTAAGGGGGTGAAAAGGGAGCTTTCTTTCGCGCCGAGGACGAGATCGAATCGGCCGAAGGGGTTGGTCCCGGAAGACTTACGACCCCCGAGTCCTCCTCCCGTTTCATCCCGAGGACTCGCGAGCTGTCGAGGTCCAATTTCACTTTTCCTCTTACTCTTTCCAGACGAAGGGCCACGTAGAGGCCGGAAGGCTCGAGGACCGCGCACAGCGAGCGATCCTGGGGAGGACAATTCCTCGACGCAGCCTCCAGCTCTCGGCGGAGATCGTTCGCCTCTCGACTCAGGGTGTCCCCCAGGTCTTTGGCTCGCTGTCCTTCCTGCAGCAACGCCTCCGCTCGTTGGGAAAGTTCCCGAGTTGCTGAAGACCCGACGGAAAACGATCTTAGGTACGCGACGAATAAAAATAAAGGAGAAGAGGCGGAACGCGGTCGGACCACGGTGGCTTCTCGAAGACCTTCCGCCGTTGTCATCGGAAATCGCGGAGGGTATCGGTCGGACCGTCCGCAAGGTTTTACTCGCGAGAACGGAAAACGCGGCGGATATCGGCAATGAATGGAATCAAGCCCGGCTCTTTCTTCGCAAGCTGGGACGCCCACCGAGGGAAACTCGTCGGGGGTTGGTTTTCGACCCGGAAAGCGGAACGGCACCAGGGGAGGTGGCATCGGAAGCGCCCGCTAATTCGGTTAGTATTCGGTTAGTAAGTTAGTCCCGCGACTAAGTGATACCGCGACGAGAGGTCACTTAACGGGGAGTTGGCAAGACCCCGGCGAGAGCTTGCACGAGCACCAAATTACTGCCCCCGGGGGAAATGGCTCGCGTACCCCCTGACTTAGTTACGCAACCCTATTCGGCCGAGGTACTTTCCCCCGGGACAAAATGCGTCGCGAGAACCATTAAGAGCGCGTCGGACGGCCGATGTTTTTCCGGAATCGACTCCCGAGGAACTTTCGGGGTTTCGCCGAGTCGAGAGCTTGCGGACCTCGGGTCGGACTCGATATCGGGACTTCCGGCGAGGAGTAATCCTCGGCGAAACTCCGACTTCCTTGACCCTGATTCGCCGAGGGCGGGTCGGAGGTGGTTCCGAGTGCCCGCCTAATTCCGCGTTTAGTGCCGCGCTTAATGCCGCGTTTAATCCGACCGCGGGTATCGCGGAGATTCGAAGAGTCGTGGCCGCGAAACTTTCGGGCTACTCTCTGCCGGGCAGAGAGGAGTCCGATAGTAGATTCTGAGATCCCGATCCGACGACTCCCGAGGGGGCGGTCAATTTCCCCGGGACGTCAAAGCGCGACTGGATGGCCGGATCCGTCCTCGTGACACCTGCGACATGAATTAATATGTTGGCTGTCGTGCGGTAGACATGAATATGCAAACATCGGCGAGAGTCGAGCCACCGTGCAATCAAACGGGCGCACCGCCGTTGACATTGGATTTCCTGGAGGGAAGGAGGGAGGGGAATTTCACGCGTCCCAGCCCCCGGATTCGGAACCCGGGGACCGGGATTTCGAGTCGCAGCCTACCGTTCGCCACGTCCAGGAGGGCGTCCAAGGCGACGTCCAAACCCGTCTCCGCGGCCAGCTCCGCTTGCACCGGCTTTCCCAGGAGCTCCTCCGCGTCTGGAAAAGATGGGTTCCCGGGTTACCCGACCTGGGACACGTTTGCGAATACGAACTCGAGCGGGGCCTAAACCGTTCGAGCGAATCGCCAAAATTCCCGATCGACTCGACCCGCGGGTCCGGTAACCGGATCGGAAATGCCACGAGAACGCTCTCCACCGGGACGGTCGATCCTTTCTTTTTATGGCAATCCGCTTCTCTCCGCGGATTTTACGTATATATTTTTTATCCACTTTTGGGTACTTTCACCGCGGCTAAAAGAATATCCGCACGTGGAAATCCTTGCCGGGGGGGTAAAAAATGAATCCAGCGAAGTTTGGAGCCGGGGACGTTTGAACCGAGGTTTGTAGAAATCAGAGGTATTTGCATATACGGTGGAAACCGAGGACACGCCTTTGAAGCCTTTTTGTCGCCATTGCAGAGAGGGAGGCACGTATGATACGCCGTCGTGAATATCGGAGCGACGCCCGGGAATGAGCTCGAGTTCGGGACTCCGCGGTTGATGCTCCGCCTGTCGTCCCTCGGGAAAAGGCAAATAATTTCTCTCATGGAGAACGTTTTACGGGAGACCCGGGCGAGATCGTGTCGCCCGATGCAATTGTAAACCCCGTCACGGCGATTTCCTTCCGGGTGATAATTCATCCCGCCAATGGCACCGCTTATCGAGACCCGATTTCGGGATTTCGGGGTTCCGAGCTGCGCTCCCTTTAATTTGGGCATCCCGAGCGCGCCAAATGATTTGCCAATAAATTCAGTTTTCAACGTTTTTCGAACTTTCCGAAACTCCCGAGCGATTTAAATCCGGGTCCAGACATTTTTCCCGGATTACGGTACGGCGTCCGAGGGCGAGAGGGTCTCGGGGGTGCCGAGATGAGAGCCACGGGGGGAAAACGGCGACTTCGAGGCGGGGAGGGAACTCGGGGCCCGAAACAAAGTCTCGCGAAACAAAACGAGGTCGTTAGAGGAAAGAGGGTGCCCGAACAAGGGTTGATAAGGATCGGTGAGGAGCATTGGGCCGCGTTGGCGAGTACCGAGGACAATCGGGGAGGAATACCTCCTCGAAACTCTTTTTACGGGGAGAAAGTTTAACGTCGCCGCCGGTGCCTCGGGGAGCTCGACGGAGGGACCTCCCTTATGGTGGAGGGATTTAAGACCTCCGTTTTGCGGGGATTCTCGCTTCTACGGTTCTCGCCGGGGGTTCGTAATCGAAGTCGCGGACTCGAGTCGGTCGTTTAAATTATTCCAAGATAAAGGAACTTAACGACCCCGGGACGGATGCACGAGCGGGTAAAGGATCACGGAGGGTAGGAGGGATTTCGTTACGGCAGATGGTATCGATAACCGTACTAATTGCAGATTTTCTACTCACTGTCCAGGTCCACCAGAATCGCCTCGCTGGCGACGTCGAGGCTTCTGGTGAGCAATTTCCTGAGTTGCACCGCCGTGCCGGAGTGATAGTCCCCTAAATCCTGGATCGCGGTTTCCGCCACCACCGGCAATTTTTCTATCCCCATGCTGACCAACTCGTTGCACACCATCATCGTCACCATGGCGGAGCTGAATGCGAGAGATCGGTCCAGGTGATAAATACGCGCCTTTCTTCGGGAAATTCGGATCAGAGGGGCAACTTTTCGTACCCTATGACGAAGATGAAAATCCCGAGGAAAAAGGCAAGGACTCCAGGGTGACGAGAAGGCTCGTATCCTGCTCTGATTGGACGACAGGCGAGCCAGAGTTCCGTGCCAGGAATCACGCACGCCAACACGCAACAAACACCCAGGGCCCCCAGGAAGGCCGCTTCCACGTGCATGGACTGGGCAAACGAGGAATACGTTTTCCCGTTACCTTGCCTTCCCTCCGGAATTGTTTTCTCGGTTTAAAATAATTATCGATGGAAAAATTAATAAGGTCTTTCTCTCTACCCCACTGCCACTCGTGCAATTTTCCCTTTTCAGCTTCGAAATATTCTCTACGATTTGATCGGTGGCGGAAGAGAATCCTATTGTTGGCCCGTTTTCCGAGATACGCCCCAGGGACGATTTTCCACGGGAAATACTCCAGCGAATCCGGCAATTTTGAACCACCCTGTATTTGAATTTAATCTGGGTCTCACCTTCGATATCAGCGCGGAGATCGTGATCCGGCTTTCAATGGCGTCCGTGATCAAACCTGGAATACGTCGAAAGAGCTCCTACAGGACTTGGATTTACCGGGGAAAATGAACCGAAGGACTCGAATTTCATCCAGAAAATGTCCTTCGCACTTTTCCCCGCTTCCGGTAAAAGACGTGGGCTTTTGAAAATTATCGTCGCCCGAATTCGATTAGTCGCGACATACGACTCGTTTCCTCGCAAAGTCGGCATTATCTAAGTTTCCTTTCGCTCTAGGTCCATTCGATTACCGATGGGCACGTCGTAGGGCTGGACGACGAAGAGAAATCTTCTAAGGAAGTCAAAGATAAAAATCCCCTGGTCCAAGTGGAGGCCGGGCATCTTGAAGCGCTCCTCGGCAGAGATTTTCGGAAAGTTCAGTTTCGGTCCGGAGTCCTCCCAATCCTTGGGCAAAGTCAGGGTCTTCAAGTGCGACACGTTGCTCTCTTCCTTGACGTCGTCGGCTAGAACGAGCTCCGGCTCCAATCCCGGATCGCTCCCGTTCAGGGGATGGAATATCACGAAGCTATCCGTGGTGCTGCAGTTATTTGAACCCGCGATCTCCATGTCGGAACTTTCCTGGCAGGCGAACATCCTTAACGAGGCGACCACGAGTAACGCCCCTGCACAAAAGGAATCCTTGAAAGCACCGATTTTACTTTACCTATCGATCGAGAGGGAACGACGTGGGAGTGCCTCGGCTTTTTCAGAACTTTTCCGGACTTTTCGAGACTACGAGGGAAGGAAAATGTGAACGTTCAGTGCCTCGGATCGCCGCCATGGTTCTTCAGGATTTTCACCCCTTTCCCGAGTCTCGTACGGTCTCTCCTACGGTCTCTCCTACGGTCTCTCCTACGGTCTCTCCTACGGTCTCTCCTACGGTCGGTCGCTCGCGCACCCCAAGAGCACCCCGGCTAGTCGCGATTGCGAGCGAAGACTGCCTCTTCCAGGGCTGCCAGAGGCTTCCGCGAAGCCCTACCGATTCAGGTGTTGTCGAACTCTACAGAAGAGACCGAGGGAGCGACCGGGACGAGGAGTCCAACGACGGAGACGGAGCAAGATGGAAGGTTAAAAGTAACTGGGTTACTCCGGGTGACCACGAGGGTAAACGCAATTACCGCATTCCTAGGATGCGTCGCTTCGACCCCCTGGTGCCATTTTTACGGTTATACCCTGCCTCGTTGAACGCCCTTTTTTTGTTACGTAAAAACCAGGGTTTGCGACAATTTGATAAGAGTTCGTTATCTCGCCGGCGAGTTCAACGCGTCGAATTCTACCGGCGTAAATCGAGCTTAAGGGTGGTGCGTAAAAGTCGGCGGCGAGACGCATTTAAAGGGTTTACGCTTGGTCGTAAAGTCGGAACCGAGAAGGACGCGAGTTCGTCCTGGCTTTTCCTTCTTCCCCTCCCGAGGAAGCCTCCTCATTGCAAATTTCGCGAACCGTGGGTAAAACAATGAGCGAATCTTTTTGACTCGGGTGGGGCGCTTTTCTTAGGGGCGACGTGCTTTGAAAATGGAACTCGCCTCTTTGCCGATTGTTAGCTGCACCGTGAGACCGTGAACCAACAATGAGGTGACTCGAGCGTTCGAGAAAACGTCTCACTTTCCTTTTTTCCGTTATTATCCCAGGACTTTGGCGCGACGGGAGCCCGAAATGTCGAGGAACCGACTATTTTCCGCCGGATTCGGTTCCGCTCCCAGGGTGCCTTTGACGTCGTCGCTTTGGCGACTCCTTCCGCGACTCGACAGGTTTATCCCGTTATCCGAGTTGAGTTATCCAGGATACCCCGTCTGGCAACGGGATTGGGATAAGCTCGTCGATGAGGATCCTCGAATATCCTGCGGTAGATTATCGAGCCCGTTCGTTTTTCAGAAGTTCGCAGGGAAGATTAGTCGTCCCCATCGAAGATCCTCCGGATTGGATCATCGGTGATCGGCTCCGGGAGCGTTCAAAAGGTCCGCCCTCATTTTTTTTTGGCCGCCTCCTTCGCCGACTCGATTCTCCCGATATTTTTTTCACACCCTCCTCGAGTCACGCGAATTCGATCGGTGGGAAATCAAACCCGGAGTTGGCCCGCAACTTTTTTGGGAACCGGCATCCGCGAGAGCACGAGTTCGGAGTTTCCCGGTGGACCCTTCGGGGCACCGTAAATCCGGGTGGCAGGTAGTTCCCTCGAAACTTGGGGAACCGGCACAGCCGGCGCCTGCCCTGGAAACGAGATGAAAGTGAGGATACCCGGGGATTTAATTAATTAATACTCCCCGGTTGAAAAACGAGCGCTACTCGCCCCGTCGAATCGAAGAGAACCGAGAAGATTCTTCTTTCCAGGGGTGATTATCGGGGCAGGATCTCTCGCGAATTTTTCCTTAAAGCGGAAAGCCTCGGGCGCGAAGTAAGACCGAAAATATTCGCAATCTCGAGAGGATTCGAATTCGATCGCGGGAGGCAATAACCGGTGTCTGGAATCGTCGTGGCTCCATTCATCGAAATTCTCCCGAAACTACCAGAGGGACAATAGTCGAGGTCCTGGGACCTCGGGAAGATATCTGTTCGCTAACACGTGCGATGGACCGGAATGATTAGTCGCTATTGACTGGAGAGGAAGTATTCCATTTCGGTGTCTTAGCTCTTGTCTTCTCGGGCGAACTGCGGGCTCGTGGAGTTGTCCGATCGAAATTACGGTTTCCCCGTTAACCGGCACAAATCGTTCCTATCGTCTTGTCCTCCAAAGACCAAAGATCGGCCTAAAAATAAAAGTCACCCTCTTCGCCCCGAACGACGAGAATTTCCCCTACGGTCCGGAAGGAAATTAATTCGGAAACGTCCCGGATGTCCACGCATCTCGAAGGACTTTTCCCTCGGCTGGAAGAAACCGGAATCCGAGGAAAAATCGGCCGATTCGCGCGCCGGGGGGCTTTATCCGACTTTCGATTATCGGAGGGAAGTCGACTCGCCCCCGGTACTCGAATGCGAGAGTCCGCGAACGGAAATGATTTCCCGAGAAGTCCTGCTCCGGAAAAGTGCCGCCGAAGCGTGACACCCCATCGGAAGATTAATAATGGAAATCAGATATCCAGGTCGTTACCCTCGGATATCGCTTCTGGCCGGAAACAATGGCCGGGATGTTCCGAGAGGTAAGTGCAAATCGGGACGGAGTCGAAGTCGCGAATCGAGGTGCTCTCATCGATATTCCTGCCGGGCATCGAGGGGACGATCGTTTCGCAATTGCTTCCCGAAGGATCCCCTTCGGGTCCTGCGCGAAGGAACGCACCCTACCCGGAGGACGTTAGCCGTCTCGTCCGAGAATTCATTCCGGGCATCTTTCACCCAATTTCACGACTAAGAAACTTCTTATTCCACGTCGACGCGTCAGAGATTTTGGGGCTGCCTTCGATTTTCCTTCTCTCGTAGCGCCTCGTCGTGGCAATTCTCAAGGAAGGAGGGATTCGCGACCGGTCGTGCACGACTAGAGATTTTTAACGGCGGAATAGGAGGAATCCAGGGGAAGCTAGAAATGACGGGTGTGTTCGTCGATACTCGTGGGCGCGCAGGGCTGGGGAGCACCGAGAGGACAATCGCATCGCAATTGGCCGACAAAGCGGCTCGGAATCCGTGGACGTGTTGGACACATGCACATTGCGTGCATACGCATTGCGGGATAATCGAACATCTATCGTACACCGCAAGTCCTAATACCTACAAGGATCCCACGTAAACGTTCCTCCCTTCGTTAACGTCGCTTGTACCGAGTCGTTTCCGACGTGCGATATTTTCTATCCATTGCAACCGCCTCCTCCCGCGTCCTCCCGCCTCCTCTCGCGTCCTCAGCGAAATCCATTAAATAAATATCCGTCATCTCGGGCAGTCAAGAGGCACCGTCCCGAATTATACGAGCGGCGGGATTGAAACGGAAGGAGACGTCGCGATAATTATCGAAAGGCATCGAGCACGTGCGGGAAGAATTGGCGATCGGCGGGGCGGGCGGGTCGGTTTCGGGAGGGAGTCGACGGAGAGAAGGGGCGCCGTGGAGCAGTCGGACCAGTCAGTGCGTCGTCAGCCTCCGGACCGATAGGACGCTCGTCCCGCTGGCGATCGACGCGGACAACCGCGCTCGCGATCGTCCACCGGAAACGGAGGTTGGAATCGACGACGCGACCCGGCGGGTCCGGGCGAACTCGGCGGTGGAAAGTTCCGGAAGCGGCCAGGGAGTGATCGATCCGGATTTTGCCCCCGCGCACCCCGGTCCGGAAAACCTCGGAGAACCGCCGATGGTCCTCGAGGCTGAATTTGCGGAAAGAGGGACTCCGAGCACCTAACGAGGTATGCGATCGCGGAGAAACGGGGACGAGGGGATTATCTCGAGGAAGATGCAGTCGATCGTCGCGCCGAGTCGACGAACGGCAAGGGGGCCAAATTGGAGTTTAAAAACTTTTAGAGACACCGAGTCGACGACGTTAGATTACGGAAAGAGAAGGACAATTTGGGAGAGACGTCGACGAGCACTGGGAACGGTGAGAGGAAGTTTCCGCAAGATACGCGGATAGCTCGTTTATCGTAGGGCCCAGAGATCCGCGGAAAAGGAGAGGCTTCCCTTCCCGCGTAATCGGGCGGAAACGACCTCCGCTCCGGAGGGTTTACGAAAATACGCGGCGCCGCTTTTCTTGATCCGTATTTACGGGAAATCCATGGCCGGACGCGGACGAACACGGGGCAGGAACGATCGTCCGACCTTGACGAACGCGTCGCGTCCCCGGAGGTGACTTCGAGCACGAGGATCAATTCAGGGAAGAGCTTTCAGCGGCGAAATCGCGGATTTAATTGCAGCCGGAACGGTGGGGTTTTATCCCGCGGATGCGAGAGTGATTCCGGCAATTCGGCGGAATCGTCCGCGGCCCCGGAAAGGGGGCTCGCCTCGGAAGAGACCGAACTGTCGTTGAAAGTTGTTCCCGAACCCCGCGTTACAAAATGGCCGCCTGCCGAGACCGGATCGAAGGAGGCGCCGTCGAGCGTTGCGGTCGGGCCGCGTCCACAAAGGGGGCGGCTTTAACGCCGACGTGTCGCGACCTCGGCCCCGGCGCGGGGAAAAAATGTGCCCCACTTCCGCGGTCGCGGGCCCTGCCAAACCTAATTTCGCTTTTTACGATCGGCCCCGATCGGAGGATCCGACGTCGGCGTCCCTTGCCGCCTCCAGGGTCGAGTGGAGTCGCGGCGCATTTGGCCATTTCTGCCCCCAGATTTCTACTCCTCGCTGATTCCGATTCGAAGACGACGCAGAAAATCCGCGGATTTCGAGATTTATTCGACGCACCCGTCGCGATATTTCCCCATCGCGAGGGGATGGAACCCGGGCCGTCCTATAGGACCGACGCGATTCTTCGCAGCTCGGATTTATCGAAAACTCGCGACTGCGGCCAAATGGAACTCGATTTCCTCGGAGGAAGAGACTCGGAGATTTTCCGGGGGCGCGAGCGATTCCTCCCCGGGACTCGCATCCGGATTACCGGGCGAATCGCGAGCGAATTTATTTCCGCGGAATTCCCTCCTTTCGAAAAGGACGAATCTCGAGAAATTCGCGTCGATACGCCGATTTCCGAAGGATCGACGAGGTTGAGCAACGCTAGGC